GAAGTTTCGTTAGGTTAGATTCTACCTGAGTCGAAAAAACGGAAGTTAAAAACTGGAAAAAATAGAGACGTTTGTATGACTGGGGGTATGGCGTCGTTTTCTCGCCTCAGGTAGAACCTAACCTAACGAAACTTCGTACGATTACCAAACAAGAGGTGGTCTTTCAGGTGCTGGTATTGATTTTCCGCTCAGTTTAATATGAATTTGCGGTGGCCATTTTGGAGAAAGGTCTATTGTGAATAATATCATTAGTTCGTTTCACTCTTTAGTCATCCACTTCCTTAACTTGTTCTATGGTAAATTTACTGTATTGATGAAGCAGCTCTTTTCAGACTGTATTGAATTCATAACTAAATGCAAATGCGAATGCTACCCACTCACACAAAAAGCTACGGTTATTTCTGCTCCTTCCATGAGATGTTCAAAATACAGGAAATGCCGAATGTTAGTATCTAATTTTCTGGGGGAGCATGCCCAAGACCATTTAGAGAGGCGCAGTTTTGGTGGCTGTACCACCCCGCCTCACCTGACTACCTCCTCCCCCCACACTATAAAGATCAGAAATAATGATAATATATATTTTTGTTTTGTATGTTGCAGCAATGTGTAGTAACCCATCCATGTTGCCAGGTAATACAACGATTTTTAATTAGAGCTCGGACTTTTCTAAGTCTACTAGAATGCAATATATACAGTCAAACTTGGGTTTGGGTTCAAAATTATTTTTAGTCGCTGGGTTTAACCGGAGTTTTTTGGCGGCAGTATCACCTCAAGAATCGCTGCCTGTCTCTATGAATCAAATTATTCGACAAAATCTGATATTTCCTCCTGTGAACCATTTGATTTCAATGAAATTGTAGAATCTCCCACGATGAATTATCATCGCATGCATATATTAATTCAATTCCGTTTTCTTTCTATCAGTTATAATCTCACTTTAACTATTTATCTGTACTACAAGAAGATAAAACAATGACCCTTATTTTCTTTATCCTTGTTTTTTTTCTATCTGCTCTATCTACAGTACACATTTACTCCGTGCATTTTACAGATCATATAAAGCTTTTATTATCTAGCTGAGTTAATTTTACTACTTTGTTAGGAACGTGCGTTTGTTGTCCCCGTCCAGGTTAGTAATTCTTGGTTTACAAATGCATGACGTCATGTATATATTTTATTGTTTGTCATCCTCTTTGTAATTGTCATGGGATTCAGTTCCGTTAAAGTCTGCGATGATCCTTCCTCTTAAATTGTATAATTTTATTTTATCATGGTTCGAAATATTGCCCACTATGTACTGATTTCATATTTTTTTATCTTCATTTCTTTTTCCTTTTTTATTCAGTTTGTCCACGGCCACGTAAGTATGTTTTTGCTCTCTAAGATGTCAAACACATTAGCTTACGACTGTTTATTTTGAAGTATATGCAGTATACGAATTTAAAAGTATTTATTGTCCAACTCCACTCAGTAGAGTTCAAGAATAACGAGTACTAAATAAGACACGATATTTGGACTGTAAAAAAACGGTTAAACGGGTTTGTTGTAGTCCTCTTAGTTCTGCTGACAATGCAGCGAGGCTACACGCACTAAATATCAAATACGATACAGTATACATGTATTTATTGTCGATAGGATTCAATTTGAATATCAAAATATCTAGCAAGAATAATTGAATACACTTATTTGTTGTCCTGACTGCCTTATGCTACAATAAATATTATTTCATTGGTCTAGCTTTTTGCCATTATATTTAACTTATAATAAATTGTTAATCTATTTTTAGCTTGTTGCTGCTGCTGTTGTTGTTCCAGCTCACCTCCACCTCCACCACCCCCTCCCAAGAAACCACCACCTCCCCCGTGTCCATGGTTTGTCTTCCTTGCAACCCCTGCCCAAGACCACCGTGTCCGTGTCGTCCAATATGCATCCCCAGGCCTTGTCATCCGCCATGCCGCATACCCGCACCTCCAATAACTGGACCGCGGCTCAATGGCCCATGCATATCGGCTCCACCAGTCATGGGTCCGTGTCACCCACCGTGTTTACCACAGAGACCGCCTTTTATACCCGTTCCGCTTCGTGCTGCTCCACCAGTATTACCTATAAATCAACCAGTCGTGGTGGATCATCCTTTGAAAGGGCCCGCTCCTATATACATAGGTATGTAGTAGTATAGGGGGAATCGAATCAGCCGTTTTTTTTTTTTGCGGTGGAATCTCATTAGCGTGCGGTGAAATAGATTAAAACGGGACGCCATAGGCCCTTTCCTATAAACATAGGCATGTTGCATTAGTTAGGTAGTATATAATTCAGGTCATATAATGTTACGCGAAAAAAAACCATTATATTCCTAATATTCTTGGCTCGCTTTCCATCGCTCTCTTGAGTCCGATTTAAGGGTCGCGGAATAAGTGGATGGTATTTAATCATATTCACATGCGAATGAGTGTCTTTACTTTTACATATCTCTTGTGAACATCACATTTTCTGAAATGGGCATATATTTAACCCTATTCTGCCTATGCTTTTTTATCGCTCGTTAATCTGGGGTGGGGCAGAATGTCCCCCCTCCCTGTATCTCCAAAAGTATTTACGCTATGAAAATACATACATTTATTTTTTTAATTTTTTTTTATTGGACACTCCCCATAGGGCTTTTTGTGAAAAAAAAAAAATGAAACTTATATGGTGTGTAAAGCATCTAAAAATGTTTATTTCAGTGACAATCAGGTGTCAATTATGACGTCATATCATGCCAAAATGCCAATTTTTGACTGACAATATCACGTGATAGGGTTCTACAAATGACCTACTTTTGTAGACCAATGAGCTGACTCGTGAATGAATAAGTTAATATGCATAAATTAATAGCGCGATTAATTAACTTTTACAGCCCATCGACCGAGCGAGTGATGCTATAACCTCTTCATTGCTTTCGCATTCACGAGTTAAAAAGGGTAGTAGTAGAGATTTTGAATTCAACAAATACTAGCATGAAACTTTGATTTATTAATAGATCAGTGTCATGACGTCATACCGGAATGCAGAGACTTTGCAAAGAGAGGAATGTGTAACCACCCGTCACCTTTCCACAGCATTAAGCAAATCAGAAAAATCTGCGCCTTCTCTTGCGGAATATGTAATGAGTGAGTATATACACTTTCATTCACAGCCTTACAGTTTGACTACTCCAACCAAGGCCACCCAAACAAATTCTTAGCAAATTGACCAATATCGTTTGAGTGTTAAAACAATAAACATAGTTACAAATCTATTGTTTCGATAGCGTGCAGCTTGCTTAGATCCATAATTTGTGGGAAATATATTGTTAACATCCATGGTTTTCATTCGCTAATTTGCACATAATTTTGTTGGGTGGTCTTGGTTGGAGTAGTCGCACTGTAATGGGTTTAGCAGGCACGTAGAGGCTGAAACCGAAAACGATGGCATTTCATACATTAAATATTTCACTCGCAGTTCAAATATATGATATTTCATATATTCACTTCATGTATATCTTATCTTCTACGGGTATATTGCGAACTCACAAAGTGACCAGCTCCCAGTTCGCTTTATAGCTCAGTTGGTAGAGCACTGCATCGATATCGCAGAGGCCATGAATTTTTTTCAGGCTTTCTTTTCGCAGCTTTTTAATGCGATGGTCTTTCATACATCGAGTATCTCCAGGAGCATATCACCACGCAACCTCTATCCATGATGATTAAGGACAACAGCGTAATTACACCTTCGGCTATTTTTAGAAACAAAGCAGAACAGCAAAAGTCATTGTATTGTATTGTTTGTATTGTATTGTATTGTTTTGTATTGTTTTGTATTGTATTGTTTTGTGTTGTTTTGTATTGTAGCAGGAACAATCTCATTGCTTAAACGTGGTTGCGTGGCTCATGACATGTTTTCGCGGCAAAAATAATTCTAAAAATAGCTCAAGGTGTAACTTCGCCGAGGCATAGGCCCAATAAGGGAGATGGAGGCTCCGGGGTAATATACTCCTGGTATCTCTTATAGTTTTCAATTTGTTGGCATTTATCTATTAAGTTATAATTGCTTTTTTAGTATATCACTTCTAAATGAAGTATCATCTTCCTTAAATTAAGTCCGTAACACAATTACACCTCTATTTCAGTTACGACGAGAATGCAGCGCTGCTTCGAAGACAAACACATTCTCGAATTAATATCAGGCCCGCAATGCGTGCAAAATTAAACAGAGCCCTGGCACAGATCATCCGAAACAGAGATCTTGAGGGTCATTCCACACTCGAACCTCAGCAGAACAAGGCTGGAAAAAGGAAGAACAAACTGGGGAGAAGAAAAGTCATGATATAATACATTTTAAAACCCGAACAGGCGATTTTAAAATGCTACACGATGCTTCTGAACAAGATGAATCAATGAGTGGATCAGGCGGATCAGGCGGATCGTCCAATGGTTTAGAAGAGATCACGTGACTAAATTGTTTACGTCTGATACAGTGAACTCTCCAAGACATAATTCTTTTGTAGAATTAAGGCACGATGCAAGTGAAATATGACAATACACGATAGTAATTTATGAAGTAAAACAATCGATATGTTGACAATGAAAAAAGCGAAGTTCGAATGTATTTAATTTTTTATAGAACTTAGAAACTCGGAATGAGTTTTACAATAAAATAAAATTTACATTTTTATGAATAAATCTGTTTTTTCTTTCACCCATGACTAAATAAAATATGCAATAAATCACTATACCCATAGGGAAATGAGTTAAAATAACAAAACAATACTTTGCTCACAGAAACACCACACAACAATCATAGGCACATCATTATATGAAAAAATCGATGACGCATTGCAATAAAAGATGGCAGAAAAAGTGTGTGGCTACAATGTAGCTAGTTCCATTTGCTTCTCAGATGTAGTATGCGCACAGAATTACCTTAAGCAATGTCATGTCGTCATATCTAAGAAATGAGAGACCACCTTCTCAAAAAATCCGAGCTCTCCCAACAGGAGTCGAACCCACGCCCTTCCGCGCACCAGTCGGACGCTCTACCACTGAGCTATAGGAACAACGTCTATAACATTTTTGGAAAATATCTTATCAGTGTTGCCGCCTAACCAGAGTTGTGTTCTTTTAAAGTGATTCCTCAGAAATAAAAATTGTAGAACGATTTTTTTTAACTTTCCCTGAATGTTCCCTACCAAGCACTGTTTCGAAAAATACAATAAAAAGATAGGTCACCGTGCTCGCAAAAGAGATATGATGGACCAATGTTACCCAATTTATGCCTGTGCTGGTACTAATCACGCGCGTAGTTATTTCATCGGTTCACGTAATATTTCGCGGTAGCTAGAAGCAAAGTTTAAAGTAATACTTGAAAAAAACTTGATAAGTTCAAAGTCTCGACCATATGGAACAATTTAATATATAATTTGTGGAAAAAATCACACAAATTCAAACGACATCGACTCAAAACGTTCCACCCACGAGTAACGGTTTTGTGCACGCTTTTAGCGATATCTTTTTTTTCCTTCCAAAAATGTTTTTATTTTATTTTTTTAACTTAAAGAGGATAATTTGAACATCAAAATTATGCAATAAAAAATATAGGTCACCGTGCTCGCTTACGTGAAAACGTTTATTTACCTCCCTGGCGAGCATAGCCACAAAGAAAAAGCCGCCATGTTTTTAATGTGCGCGCGCTAATTACGCGCGAAATTATGCGCAGTAAGGATGCGCAGTGCAATACTGAGGAATCACCTTAAGTTAACATAGATAGTGCTATGTAGTGTTCTGTCGTAAGGCAACCGAGCACATGCGCAGTATTTTAAAATAATTCTTAATTCAAGTGATTAGTCAGGTGATAGCCTGGATAATCTTAAAGTAGCGGATACTTAAAAGTTTCGGATTATCGATGAATTATTTTGGAGGAGGAAGTAGATGATATATACTGAGATAATCGTCTTATTTTAGTAAATAGCAGCTGCTTTATTGTCCTAAGATCTCTCACTCCTCGTTCATTTTTTTTTTAATAGAAGCTAAGATGAACAAGCAACTGAGGAGAAAACAAAAATAGAGCCAGACTTCCTCTTTAGCTTGGTACTGTTTTCGGGCATCTTATCCTTATGCATCCTCTTGGGTTATTTCAGACAATGCTATTTCGATTCGATATTATTTTCATCGAAGTAATTCCCAGTTCCCTCTATGAAAATGCCTGCATTGCATCATGGTAGTTGTATTCAACATTATAAATCCAAGACGGCACCACGAGTGGACCGGATGGCGTGGACAGGGCGTATGCCACCATCGGGCTAATCATATTGGCTAATTCGAGATCTTGGCGGGAATGTTTCGCCATCTTGGACTTGTATTGTCGAATACAACTACCATGAAAGGTCGTAACAGTTGCCAAGAAACGAGATTACAAATAGTGGCTGGCTCGGTTTAACAAGCGGGTGTTTTATTCTTTTCTCTTATTTGCTTGTCAAGGCAATACCTGCAAAAACCAGTCATGCATTCTTATAGTAAACAATCAAGTCGTTTAAAAAGAGGCTCTAGCTCAACCTTCGATGAGTTGATAAACGGTTTTTGGGCCTTTTTTTTTCTTGGAAAAATGTGATCTGGAAGTAGTTTCTTGTATTTTTCAGATACATTTAGAAATTGTTTTCAACTTATTTAGTAAATTCGCAACATCTTTTAGTGAGTTGGATGCAATGGCATTTCACATTATCATGATTCAGGGGTGATTGCGTTCCACCATACTCCAAATACCCTCTCTGATGTTTACTCATTCACAAACAAATGTTACGTCCTGCTGTCGAGCACACAAGGGGGGATCACTAACTTGTCATCACCCATTCTTGTCACGACTGGAAACATAAGATAATAGCGTTATTGGCGTTCGCCGCGCGCTATAATGATGTCCTTTCGCTTTGTCACTCGTCTCGTTTTATCGCTGGTTGTTATGCTATTTATCGCAGCAGTCCAAGCAAAGCATCATAGAGGTACATGATCTTATTGTTATTTAATGCAACAGTGATTGTTTTCTCAACAATACGATCAACTACTAATTGACAAACCAAAAACGAAGAATGGTATTTTCTTATTTTACGTACATTGAATTCATAGAAAATAAACATTAGTGAGCTGCCTTGTTATATCATGAAGATATGGCAATCTTCGATACAGTCCAGTCACGAAAATAATAAAAATACATAGATAATCGAGAGTCATGAATATAAATATGAATGAGACACCAGGAAACTGAATCGAATTGTCAAAACAGAACATACATTCGGTTATCTTTTTTCCATCATTGTTTTTACCTTAATCTTTCGTCCGTTTGAAATGTTTAAACTGGTGAATATCGCTATCGGTGAAGTTGTCTATGTGTAAATCGGTTATTAGTATCAAAACGTTTGAATTAAACGTTTCATAAAATAGTCCGGATAATGGACATTTGCCTGCAGCAAGATTTGTTTATTTCCAGTGGTATCATTGATCATCCTCTTATTTCTTCTCAGCATGGAGGTATAAAATAATTAAAAGCAAGTCTGTCTTAATTGATCTTGAGACTAAATGAACTGATCACCAAAGGGGGTAATTCTTTAATGCAGGGGTTGGGGCTGGTACCCTAAAAAGTATCAGAATTACGTCTTGGCTCGAAATCGTTTTCACCCCTAAGAGGTACCAATACTGAAGTGGTACCAAACCACGAGTTTTAACCCCTAAGAGATACGATGATCACCCGTCACTTTTATATGAGAGTCATTCCCCGGGTACGCAATATAAAATCACATTACCATCTTGTATGTATTGAGTCCAGATATAATAATGTGCATGTTGACACTGATGTTGACACTGAAGTTGACAATGCTCATTTATCGTCAAGAATGTTTGTCTCACGATGTCGTCACTTGGATGTAGATCGTGACGTTTAGACTGCGTACTGCTAGTCTTCATCAGGTGATGGGGTCGACTGGTTACGCGTCACAGTTTACTTTGCAAATAATCTTTCTCTATAGTAAATAACTGTATTCAGTTTGTCATGTCTCTGTTTTTGACTTGATTTTCTTCAGCACTCAAGAAGGTTAAATATTCAGACTTGAATGATGACGACAAAGCGACTCGAGCTAAACTACTCTGGGATCTTATTTTAACAAGAAACAGAATCAGGCATAAAGGATCTTTAACACCTCGTCATTTACACAATAATTTGAAGGTTTACACCGTTCCACTTAAACTTGGTAAGCACATTGCAAGTTTTAGTGACTTGTGATGAAAAAATAATCATTTTATTTTCATCTTAGACTAGATTGTTATTTCCAATGCAAGTATGCGAAAAGTGTTAAATGTTGGTAATAGTCCATTTTATTGTCGACGAGCAGCAGCCTAACCACTGAGACTGAGACTGCACAGGGGAATAATTTCCGTTAAACCTGGTTAAACCTGGTTGATACCGTTTGAAAGGATAGCATTTTTTTTATCAACGTTGACTTGACTTCTGAGAAATGTTTAATAAATATTTTTATACTAAAGAGAGCAAGAAGAAAACCGAAAACGATTTATAAAATTCATGTGACTAAGCTAGACAGTCTCTGTTAGAAATTTCGTCATCTGCTGTTCATTTGTCCACAGGACTGTGCACAGATCAGCATCCATTGTGTAGCTCGTTTGCATTAAATGGACTCTGTGACTGGCCTGGACTCTTTCAAGACCTTGACAATATTCATAAGACATGCGCATTTTCGTGCGGAAACTGTAAAAAGTAAGTAAACTACACTCACCTTCAGATAACTAATTTGCTAATGGTGGAGTTAATTGTTTATTTTGAATTTCATAAAAATGATCAATAGTAGGTGTTTTTCAAGTTACCCGTCAATTGTTTGTGAGACGCATACAACTGAAAACAATTTAAGTTGTTCGTTTTATTATATAAGGTTTTATTATTGTTATTATAATTATATATTGCTTTTATAATAGACCAATTCCGATATATTAATATTCTAACTTGGCTATGAATATATAATTTCTTTTGTCTTATTCCCCTAAGCCTCGGAGCCAAGTTAGAATATTAATATATCGAAATTGGTCTATTATATATTGCTTTTATAATTATCTGTATAGTCCAATCCCGAGCGGACTGATCTTACTTCTTGTGATTTATCCGGGGGAGACCGTTATCCACCCTTTGAACAATTAGGCCCTGAAGTTAAATCTCATGCATTGTTTGCATTTTCTTTTAAAGGAACATATCAAACGGGGAGGTAGACCTTGTCGGAGCCGGCTGGAATGAACCATGAACGATTAAACGCTGTCTCTGTCAGGCTAAGCACATGGACAGGATTTCCAAATCTTAGCAGTTGTTTAAAACAATTCTATTTCGACGAATGTTCACATCTACTATGGATAGCTACTTAACATTACCAGTAACTTTATAACAACTATCATAACAATCTCGTTCCTAGAGTCCTCGTTACCCTTGCCCAGCGGTGGAGCGGCCAACAAGGAGCTCTGGGGAGGAAGCGATCCGCTATGACAGGATTCTTGGACTTCCGGCTCTACTGCGCATGTGTTAGACCCCGTGTTTCAACTAACGGAGGCCAAGATTCTTGGACTTCCGGTCTTACAGCGCAAGTAAGGCGGATCACTCTATCCCAGAGGTCCTTGTTGGCCGCTCCACCGCTGGACAAGGGTAACGAGGACTCTGGGAACAAGATTGCTATCATAATTATTAGGATTTAATTGCCATGGAAATTATTGTTTGACAAAGTTAGCGCGCTATCTATTTTAATGGTTTTATTTGTGCTGTTATTTGAGCTGGTGTCAAACCTCGTGAAAACGAAATTGAACTGACCATTTTTTTAAATTCATTCGGAATATATATTCAGTTTCGAATGTCAATAGCGCACTTGCACGGTGTCGTCATTTCACTACAACTACCAGAATTCATTTCGTTTTTCCTTTATCATTTAAATTTTTTAAATCCCATTGCGGTTTAAATAACAATGGCTCTAATTAGCATGAGAAAAAGAAAAACTGGAGGATTCTGGTAGTAGTAGTCAAATGA